ATCACCGGCTTTGAGGAAGACGAAGACGTCGAAACGTTAGCCGAAAATAAATATATTTATCAACCTCGTGTAAGCTTATCAAGAAAGAATACATATTCAAGGAATAGTTACTATACTTGCCTAGGATCACCTCACTCCTTCCATTCTACATGCGAACTCTCTAACGCGGCTATAAGAGGACACCAGATAGAATCAATTCAAGCAGCATTAACGACGTTCACAAAAAAGAAAAAAATGGTGAAGCAGCAGCTGGAAATATACAGAGAAGCTCGAAGACCTTAATAAACGGTGAATTCGAGGAAGCGAATGAAATACTAAGAGTATCCGGATGCATACAGAAGTTGTGTTGACGGGCCGTGCAAAACAAAATAGAAAATATTACGCATGAAATGTTTAACTTTTTCTTTTTTGCCTACTATTTTTGCATAGTGAGGTGTTACGTGAAATGCAACCACAATGGTGCTCAGATATTTCCGAAATTCGGAACCCGAAGCCACCTTCGAATCCGTGATTACTCTTTCCGGTGGCTCATGTGTTACCCAGTACACCACCGAGGTTCTTGCTTTGGTTTTTCTCAACCACTTTCATATATAAAGTATAAAGGATAAAGCTCTCGGCGTTGATCAATCCCTGACGGATGCGCCATACACTCGGTTTTATTAAGTATCGTTGGAGGTGATTGAATACATACGTGGCCTTTACAATAACTCGCCATGGCCTACCAATGCATCCAGCCAGTGTTGCTGTCGTCTTAGACAAGTCTGGCACCAATTTGCCGGCCCCGGAGTGATGGAAGACTTGGTGGGCCATGGGCGCGTAGATCGACTCCACGTGTGTGTCGCAGTGGCGCCTTCAACCACTGGTCCATACGCGCCACACTTATATATACATATATACATATATATATATATATGTATACATTTGTGTATATCGGTACGTTCCTCTTTATCACTATTCTACCACGTTATTCGCGTTCAGGTGCGTGTAGGGCATATTGGAGCAATCGGTTACATGAAGAATGGTGAGAAGATTCTCGATAATTCACGGGCGCAGCTATGGAAAGATGGCGTATTGGATGAGGATTTTGACGTTGAGTAAGAAATTCTTCTCTTATTTACTCTTCTTCAAGTCACTCTTACCGTTCAAACACCTATGGTACTCCTCTGCCGAGACCATGTGCTATTGGTGACTGCAATCACTAATATCTAGTCCAACATTATATTACATCTCAACTTTTTCCATTAATAGCCCTGTTATAAATTTTGCGAAAAGAAAATGAAAACGGAAATGAGATAAAACAATTTTCGACGAAGACGTCGAAACGTTAGCTGAAACAAACAAATTTATAAGCCACGTGTAAGCTCTACAAATTAAAAACGTGGAAATGAGATAGCTTTTTTTTAACATAGAGGACAGAAAAGATAAATCTTTTGGCGTTGTTCAATACCTGAGGTATTAGCCGTACATTCGATTTCGTTGAGCATTATTAGAGGTGATTGAATGCATATCTGGCCTATAAAATGACTCATGATGGTTGATATATCAAGTCAGTGCTGATATCCTCCTAGACAAGTCTGTTACCAATTTGCAGAACACGGAGGGATGGAGTGCTTGGTGAGCCAAGGGCTCGGGTTCGATCCCACGTGTATTACAAGGTGCCTTCAGCTATTGCGCTGCATGCGCGTCGTCTTTCTGAACATATATTATAAAGTAGAACTATTGCTGCTATTGCTATATAGAACAAGTTTCTAGACTTTTGGTTAACTATGAGTGGGAGCTTGAAATAGAGCTCTTGGTTGTCAAACGTCTTTCTTATTACGACCCTATTTAGCCTAAAAGCGGCTGCAATTTGAGAATGAGGACAAACTCGTCCACGCCAGCTTGAACGAGAGTGATGAAAAACAGACGTAAAAGAATGAAATCGTATCCGAGATTGACAGGACAAGATAAAAAGCGATATACTCTGAGATATTATAGTGATTATGTGATTTTAGGATCATTGATCAAACGGGATGTGGCGAAGCGCTTGAGGGTGTCGCCGTCGGCGCAGATATGTATCATGTGCAGAAAGTGCGAGCGTTTATTGGCCCTTACTGTAATGCTGGTTAGTGGGCATAAATTAGGCATCAAATTTAGAGAGAAACTGGTAACTGTGAAGAAATATTCTATGATGAGACAGTTCTCAGGATCGACTTTCTATTAACCCCGGCAATGGATTATAAATTCGTCGTTTTCTTGGTCAGCAATTGCAAGGTTGTTATTACAACACACTTATACCTTACTTCCATACAAGCTTTCATATAGCTTCCATACTTCCATATAAATTCCATATAAATTAAAATGGATTATATGGTTAAGCAACTGGTTAAGTGTTTGACTTCGAAACCATGTTATTCTATCTAATGGGTCTAATAATAGGAGCACCTAACAAAAAACGGTGGGTTTTTCGAGAAACTGTTGATCATGTGTTTAACACACCGATTTTCGTCTTTCTGCATGTGTTATTGAAGCGTATGGTGTAGTAAATTACGTATCAGTGTATCCTTCCAGGTTCTGAAGAAGGCGATTCTGCCGAAACGTCAGCTTGTGCTGTATGCGTTTTTGTACGGAAGTAAACGTGTGCTGTATAACAACATCGCGATCGCTAACCAAGAAAATGACGAGTTACAATTTTAGAATTGGACGCAGTAGCAAAGATGGCTACATTCTGGAATATCCCAGTCGTTGGTTACATGGCATCGTCAAACACTTTTGCTGACAAGTCCATCTACAAAACCCTGGCAAGAGTGTCGCTGAGGACAACCAATTCATTAGCAGAAGCGGTCGCGGCAATTCTCAGTCACTATGAATGGACTAAGGTATGTCTGAGTTACAAGCTAGTAGATGCCTTACGACGTGTTCCAATAAAAGTTCAGGAACGTAGAGTTTTTAATGCCTCCGGAATTTTGTTCGCTGAATTTTGCGTTGATGCCTCCTCCGAGGTAGTATTTTCACCACGCCTTTGGGCAATTCACCGTTGAAATAAGAATATCAAATCAGAAATGTTGGTCGAGTTGTGCATTTTTTTTCTTATAATCTTCTTACTAAAGGTTGGTATTGCCACCAATACTGGGGTGGTTGCTTTCGAAAGGACGCAGGCTTTCGAAGAGGCCTTTCACAAGCGAGACATACAAATAAATAAAAAGGTCTGTTTAGTTTAAAATATGGTTAAATAAGCGTGTCGAGAGCAAGAATCTGCTGAAAAATCACGTTTTTTCTTTTTTAGTTTCTATTTTAGAACGGAAATTCCGCTTAAGGAAAATCTTCCAGAATTATTCCATGTAAAGTCTTAGTTGCGATAGGAAGCACGAACAGATACACAGCTCCAAGGCCCGAACATATCCCTGCAGAGTTAATTCGTAATGGAGGCCACAAATTGAATGCATTTTTAAACTCATACGGCATCTCTAATCTAAAAGGAAAAGTTCTAGATCAGTGGAGGATGTCGCTCGTGGTGATCCTTCACAAAAGGGAGGACCTAAGAGTTCTTCGTAACCATCGCCTTGTTCCGCTTGTTGAATACACTGTACAAGCTGTTTAAGACGATTATCTTATTGGACATTTCAAAGGCATTTGATAAGGCACAACTACTTGACCAGGCAGGATCTCAGCATGTATTCTGTAGCATAGACGACACTCATACCCTGGCTTTAGAAGTCTGTCGGGAGTACCACCTGCTCCATGTATTAAACCTTCATCGACCGCGGAAAAGCGTCTAATCGAAGAGAAAGCGTGAACCAAGGAGTGGACCAGTCCTACGTAAAAACTCTGTCTGAGTGTTTTGGGAATTTCACCAAGAAAACATAGTTTTTCCATAAATCGCCTACCATCCCCGTAGAAAAAGTGTTCAACAAAGCCACAAGACAAAGCATAAAAGGGACTAGGCATGGGCATACATATGGCTAAAGATGTTTACATTCGCAAGTGGACAATAAAGTCACTCAATTGAGATGACAAACGCATAAATATTGATGACAATTCCTGTCAAATCTTCGTTTTACCTGTGAATCTTTATCTTTTCAAAAAGTACTTACGTACAGAGACGATGCTAAACGAACTCAACGAAGCGGGAAAAAGATTCGACTGCGCATAGTTGGAACGACGAGCCATATCATAAGGAACTCATGGTAATAAGACGTCCACTTCTGACGTTCATTGAACATGAAGAACAACATAAAAAGAAATTAGACAGAAGAAGGAGAGTAGCGAACGTGTCTTTTGAAATTTAACCAGCGCTCACAATGCCAAGAAGACTGAATGCGCGTCTCAGATCTTTGAAATCTATGCCACTTTCGTAATCGTGGTGAATATACATGAATACCAAAAACAGGTGGATCGTTCATATAATGGTGAATACGGATAACAGATGCACGAAAAGAACAGAGGAGTTAACTTCGAGCGAACGCAAGCGTCTTTTTGGAAGACCATCGGAGCGACGAAAGGAAGTGTCAATTGCTAACGAAAACCATCTGCGTAAGCAATTGGAAAGGATTTTGGAGATTGGGAATGGGTCTCGCAGACTCCACGTTGTTCGTATCGACAGTACCATCGATGACGATTGCGTGAGAGAAAAACGAGTGAATATTGTGCCATGGTCTGCATTATCAGTGAAGACGGGCTATCAAGGAATCCAAGTAATTAAGTATTAGGGTCGTACCTGTAAGTCGTGATGAGAAAAAAACCTTCCATACTGGGCACTATGGTTTAGTTTCTTTATAATGGCAAATCTGACTGCTTTTGTCGGCGAAGTTCAGGTTTTCGCGTGTAGACCTCAATCAATCTGCAGTTTTCTTGTTTTTTAAGACTACAGTAGTTTCGTAACATGTTAGGAATCCATAGCTGATCATAATTTTGCAGGTGATGTTCGATGAGAGTTCGGTCGCGAAATCGGTGATGCAGAGGGAATTGCTCAGCGAGTTAGCAAACCATGCTCGAAGTTTCTTTTATTCCCTCAGTCAGCGTTCCTGCGTGTATGACTCTTCTTTTAATTTTTTTTATTTTATTTTCAGTTATCATATGCATTTTTTCATCGACCCGTGAAATGACGAAAGAGTTTATGAAGGCGATATACAATGCTGAAATGAACAACCATGATTATGTGTACATTATTCCGTGGCTACAGGTGATGTTCAGCATGGATTAAGGCTTTCAGTTTTAAGGAAAACATCGTTTTGTAGAGGACTGTGTTAAGTGCAATGAAGAGTATGTTTTCTTACGTCAACACGATAAAGTTCTAGTTTTCTGGAGCCAAAAGTTCTATTTTGTAAGTTCAATAAGCGAGATTTTTTCTCTTAAGGCACCATCGTGTACGTTCTTCATAGTCAGCACTGGGATCTGTTGCGTTCCGTTAAGATTGAAACAGAAAAATAACTATCCTAATTTGGGACAAAATTGTTCTGACAAATTGTGTTGTTGTTGTTGTTGTTATTGTTGTCGTTGTTGAGACAAGACAAATTGTGTAGGGCCCTTCAAGAGCGATAGAGCGAAGTCTTCCGAAATTGACATTGTGACATTGTGTAGCAACTAATATTTCTCGTTTTCGTTTTAGTATGAAGAAGCATAATAACGGTTGCAAAATACAAAAGCATGTAGTAGTGCTATAACATTGTCGTGGAAAGAACAATCTAGCTCTAGACACTATTATCGGTTAAAATAACCTTCGTTCTAAATGTTTTCGGTAATTATAGGGTGGTACATGTGCTTGAGAACTAATCTACATGAATACGTCTCTAAGTAATTGCATTGTCACCCGAGAGTAGAATAACAGAGTGACTTTTGTTTTCTATCCACGAATACCTTAAGAATGAGCCTAGCATATAGCAAAAGTTCTATCTTCAAGACAGAGAAGAAAGATGTATCGCCGTGGATGGGAGACGATGGCCAGACTCAACAAAACATCAAGGATCACTACGCGAACTCGTTTATCGTAAGTTTTTGCATATTTACTTCATTTTATTTAGGTCACACAGTTAACAGCTAAAGGTTAGAGGTCATCTGGAATACACATAGGTCCAAATCACCACCCTATGCTGAGCCCGCAATCTATCTAGCAAATTAACCACTTGATGCGTCGGCGAACCTTGGCATACCATTGTATAAGTTAAATATGCATTCAATCGCCTTGTCAGTCGAATGCACGGCGCATCTCAAAAGAATTGATTACAGCCGAAGTAGTTTATACTGAATTTATTTCATAATTTTCTACACCCGCCCTTTCCACGATCCTATGACTCATTACAGCTACTAGGATTGGAATTTAGGTTAGAAGTGCTTAGAGAAACTACCGGATAATATACTTTACTCGATAAGAGGGTTTTGCATATTTCTAAGCGAAGAACAAATTTGTTCCTGGTCAGCCCACCACAAAATCCGAGTTGGACGAGCTAGCGGATGAATGCAAAAAATGTAAGGAAGGTTTGGAGGTCATACCAGAAACAATGTCCTATTACAAATACAAATGACTCCTCTAGAGGACAAGTCTTCGAAATTGTGCTAATGAAGGGGCATCTGTTTTCTCGTTGCTATGTTTTACTTGTAAATTTTGTTGCACTGCCTGAACATTAGCCAAAAAAACGATTATCAGATCAGATGGGTGACACCTTCCTCTTTCTTCTCTACTAAACAATTTTAACTGATCTTTGGATTTTTTCATATCGACGATGTGAATGGCTTTGATGACACGCTTGTGAAGCCGCTTCGTGAACAAGTCGAAGCGAACGGAATGTCCATGGAAGACTTAGACATAGTATGTATTCATCGCCTTTTCTTGTCGTGCTTGCATTAAGCTACACTTCGACCACCATAATAACGTGATGGTTACGATCTAGGACGATGAGCTGCTGAAATCGATCGGAAAAGGTGTACATATTTCGCGAAAAGGTTACGCTTATTTCAGTTGGAAATTGGTACAACAAAAGCATGCACTCAACTCCGAGTGCTCAGCTTTGCCTATTTTTTCCTCTGGTAACTAAGTGATGCATTTCCAGAGCAACATTTATGGCTACACTCATTTGTACGACGCACTTCAATTGTACGCCATTGCCGTTCGTAACTCGATAAACATCACCAAGAACTTCACAGCCTACGAAGATGGGCGTTTCGTGTGGAATCAAATGCGACGTCTGACATTTCCTGGTATCGCTAAAACGGTCTTTTCGTTCAAATAACCCTAGAAATACCTATGTCGCATCATTATTTATGACTATTGAAACAATGGAAAATAATACAGTTTTCTTATACTGTAGTGTAGATAAAATAGAGTGCAGGCTGTCACGTCAGAAACTTCCATGGTGAGCAGATGAACCGAACTGCTCCTATTTATATTGCACTATCGATCATCCTTAATTAAAACTTCTTCTAAAGTTTCTCCATGTTTTAAATCCTTATCACCTTTGCAGACAATGAATGTGACATAAATATTAAGGCCTTGCCTCAGCCGCAGGATTGAGTTCAGGAACGGTAGTGATGGACGATCTTGCAGAGCGAGCACCTGTTTATGCAGGTACAGAGAACAGTGTGAATATGCATGCTTTAAAAGTAGTATGCAATTAGTCTACGGTTTCCAATAGAAACCAGTAATCGCAAGCCAGACTATTTGACATAGACTGAAAAGAGTTGCTCTGCAAGTTTTCCCAAAGAATATTCATAGAGTCTTAACAGGAAATCGGTACGGTGTTGAAAGTCGAGAGAAAAAAAGAGAAATTTTAAAGTGGCTGTTGAACACAATCGCGACGACTCCCAACCTTGTGTGACTAGCGCATGGAACGGCGATTATTCTTATCCCCGTACCAACACGATTTGGCGCCTGTGGCATAGTGGTCAGAGGGCCCTGCAAAACGCACGGAATCGATCTCCGCGCTCAAAGCCTACCGAGTACTTCATCCCTCCGGGCTCGACAAATTGGTACCATACTTGCTTGGGAGGATACCAACACTGGCTCGATACATCGGCAAGCCACCGCGAGTCACTGTAAAGGCTAGATATGCATTCAATCACCTCCACCGATGCTTAATTAAGTTGAATGCATGCCGCATGTCTCAGGGATGGATCAACGCCGAGAGCTTTGTCTTTAATCTTTTATATCCACATGATGCTTTTCCGAAAACAGATGGCAATTTGTCAACAGCTAGAAGATTTCAAAAGGTTGAGGATTTAGTAGGATTATTGATGAGATCTTGCTCCATTGCTCTGGAGATACGAAATGCTTGCATACTACTGTCTCATGTGCTTCTATGATTTAATAAGTTTTCATTGGTTACAGCTCCTGGAAGTGTTTAGCAACTGTTGATTTTCTTTGTCTAGTGTTAATGGCAGAACTGGTGTTTTAGAAAGAGCGGAGAACATAAACTGCTGAGGTTTGTTACAGTTTTCTACGTGCCGCCTAACAGCGATACAGTGAGGAAAGTCAACGAGATCGAGCCGAAGCTGATCGAGAAATGTGATGGTTTGAAAACAAAAACGGGATGTGTCGATTTGGTGAGCGAGATCGTCTGCAATTAAGTGTACTAAGCTTGATACAAGTGTTTACTTTGTACTGCAAAATGTTTACGAAACAATAGTATTCTACGATTTCCGCCATTATCGCCGTCGTTAAGCAAATCACGGAAGTGGTAACCGGGTTTTGGCCGTCTCCTGATGGTGCGCTGCCTAAAGATGAACCTTCATGTGGGTTTCGCAATGAACGTTGCGACTACACAATGATAATCATTGCCGGCGCCATGTTCTTCCTATTATTGTTCATCATCATAGGGGTATTCGTCACTGTCAGGATATGGTACGTTTTGCACATGTTTAATAAATGGTGTACAATTTGATCTTCGTTCGACATTGTCGCCTTCTATGATGAGGAGCGTTTTTTTCTGCCCAATAATGATTGCTTTTGCATTTCAGCGAGAATCGCGCTCTAGCGAAAATGCCGTGGAGGATTTATCGCGATGATTTTAGGGTAGTTAACGAGGGTGAAATACGTTCGATGGTAAGAGATGTTGATGAATTTAGTTTAAAACGGTCTACTTAAACTTTTTTTGAAGATGCAATATTCCAATTTTCACTCTAAAATAGGGTGTCATTTCTTTGCTCGCGTTTCTTTCTTTTGAAATTGACAATATACAACAATAATCCGATGAGTTGACCACGGAGTCAGTTCAGTTTCTACCGTACTGTCGGTTGTGTGTACTTGAGTCAATAGATTGCACGTTATTACTAGCAATGCGAATCCTAGCACATTTTCCATTCGTCGCTTGCCTCGCGAGCGTTCTAGTTTGCTTTATATGTGGTGTCTAGTGAAATTGTCATAATGGAATATCTGTGAAGTGATTGCAACTTAACCTCGGCATTGATCAAATGATTTTCTTCGTATTTTTGTTGAGCAAACGCGAGGTGTTATTATTCTTTGTTCACCATTAAGCCGACGTTTCGGCGGATTTCGTCTTCCTCAGAGCTGCTTCCTATGAGGTTTCCACTAAGTATGTCACGTAGAGACCAACCGCACAGAAATCACATGGAAGTATAATGTATACTGTATACTGTATATAATGTATACATTATACTTCCATGTGTTTTCTGTGCGGTTGATCTCTACATCTATTTAATTTCGAATATAAATGCGTCGCCTCATCGTGTATGTACTCGTTAAGAAGAATATTTCCATGCTCTTACAGCCCAGCCCTTTTCCCTTCGTTCATCAGTTCTCTATTTTTTTTATGAGTGGACCATCTGTGTTTTGCTACCAATACGTATCTCCTGGATTTCAAAAATTGTATATAATATAAACGGATTTGCCGTATTTGTCTCAATCAAATCTTTCTAGCAGAGGGATCTTTCGCCGGATAGCCAGAAGGCGACCTGGAGCGTCTTTAGGTAGCAGATAGGTGTTTAGTCGAGGGCCAAAGGAGCCATTTGCTTTTCTGAGACGCAGCTGGACCCAGAGGATGGACTCCCTGCTTCTGCTACTCCAATATGGCACATGTCTCTTGTGTTTACGAGAACGTACTAAGACATGCGTAGGTGGGCGTGTTCTCATTTGTGCGGTTCGCATTATACGAGTCAATTTGGTCAAAATCCTGCAGTGAAGTGACACGGAAATAAATGGCAGCCGAGTTAAGAGTCTCCTCCAGCAACTAAACTCTCATGTCTACTCTAGGAGAAAGTGGGATGACACCGTTGAGTATACCAATCCTAATGTTTAGAGCTCAGCAAGCAGCATGGTTATCGAACGCTAATCACAGTAAAATAAATGGGCCTCTTCCTTTGACGCCGAGTGATCCCCGATACGGCAGTGTTGGAAAGAATGAGTTCGCAGAGACTGTCAAAATCTCTGGGCCATTCTAGGCTGCATAAATCATGGATTACTCAGGTCACGATCTTTGCCTATAGTGCACGCACACGTGCAGCTAAGTACTCAATGAAAGACTTGACCATGTAAGCAAGAAGAATAAAATATGGCGTCATCGGACTGGCGAAGACAAGACGAAGCTATCCATTCAACTCCGTTTATGACACCGGAGAAGACTAACACAACTGTTTCTCGGAACATACGACACTAGAGTAGTCGGCGGAAGACGATGCCAATCATTCAACGTCGCCTATGATACTGGAGAACTGTTCCTTGGAACGTAAAACATCAAAGGGGTTGATGACATCAACATTCTCGTCAACACGAATTTGTCCATGAACATCGATTCATTCGAACAATTTACAATCCGAATCGGACCTTTACAATTAAAAAGACGTGGATCAATTCTGGCTTTGACAATCTTCGTCGTTTACGCGCCGACATCAAACTATGACGAAGAAGAAGTCGAAGCGTTCTATATGGAGTTGGAGAAGTTCTACAGAGATCACACATTCTTCAAAGTCATCATTGGAGATTTTAACGCCAACATTGGTCTAAGAAGAACGTCTGAAAAACGTCACATTGAGACCCACGAATTAGAATAGAACGAAAAGGGTGAGCGGCTCTTTGAGTTTATCATGACGAGGAAGATCATCCATGGTAACTCGCAACTCCAAAAACCCCTCCCTCAACGATGGACGTGGAAGTCTTCCAGTGGAGAGTATCATAACGAAATAGACCACACCATAGCAAATCGAAGGCTTTGCCTATTCAATGTCGCTGTTGTTCCAGAATTCTACACAGGATCAAACCATCGCCTTCTTCGTTGAAGATTTCGTTTCTACCGGAAAGGAGAGAAAGCCGATGAATTCAAAAAACAATTCCTCAAAACCACCATAAACTGGGATGTGCCGATGAACTGACGTGTCAAACGCACAACAGAAAGACCGCCGACTCGAAGAGTAGATTTCTTTGCGAAAACCCCAGAAGGAAGATGTGGTGTTTGTGGGTTCCCACAGCCAGCAGGACTCACTGAGCTAACCTTGCATGCGACAGAGTGAAATGGAAAGTTTACCTGCTCTCGGTCGAGTCACTCGGTTATGAGCAGGACTGCAGGTGGCACAGGTGATCATATACCACGTCTTTCTCTCTTTGTTCGATAATAGAAACTCTTTTCTAAAGGCTGCGAACATTTGTACTAAAATTCTATATTTTCCTTACACACTCAGTGATTTCTAGATACTTGGATGGCCTATCTTCACTCATTGTACGGGCTCCAGCGTAGTTCTCACTGTTTCGGGATCTTGCTGGTTTTTCCATTGTAGTTTTCTGGAGCCGGGAGGTCAACCAGGCCAAACTCTGTCTCAGGGCTTCACCATCCCTATTGATCACAGAGAAATTTGCCACGACGCAACTAGTTTGATTTCTGGCAGGTGGTGGATCCTGGTATTGGTTTACTCTTAGCTGAGTTTTCTGATGGAAACTCCAGACTCTTTCTCAGCATGGGAGGCTTTCTTGTGGGCCAGTCCTTCTCCGCATATTGCAGCTCGACACCCAGGACAACCTTCCAGCTACGATAACGTCGTAAACTGTTGGGAGGTCCATCAGGAGCGATCACGATACTTTTATTTTCTTCTTCTTTGTTTTTATGGTTCTATGCCTTGTGGACAACGATATTGTTCCATTCGGTTAGCTGTCTCGCATTATCGTGGCTGTTTCTCGGTGTTGAACTGCTATCCATAACTGGGAGTTCGCCAACCGACAAGGCCCCTCAAATTAGAGAGTTTGACATCTTCATCTAGAAACCGAATTGAGAGTAAACAAGTTTCAAAAACCACTGTCATCATGGCAACGATACGCTCATTTGCTAATCAATGCTGACGATCTGTGAAAACCCTAGCACAACTTTCCAAATCTTGGGAGAGGGAAATTTTGCCTGACTAGAAATTTGCCAATAAAGTGGAAACTGTACTGAGTGTGCATAATTTTCCGTGATGACACACCATTGACTTTTCGAAGCAGAATATGAGTTTGTTTCACCTTTGACCTAGCTGATTATCCAGTAAATATGATGAACACAACATAGGGAACAGAGGAGTGTTGAAGCCATCTAGAAGGAATGACTTAACAATTTACTGCGGTCTTTACGATGTGTATGTCGAGATCACGGTCTTGTATTTCTAATATTTTCTGTACACACGTCTCCTAGGGTTGATTTGATTGTTACGGAGTGGCGTTTTCGGCTTAAGGAATGGCAGTGACAGTACTGTGCTCAAGATGTTCATTCAGCTTTTTTTAAATCTAGGACGCTTGCACGCTTTAAGTTATTTGATTGAGATTCTCGAAACAGGCAAATTCTTCAATTGCACCCGCTTAGTTTGTGGACGTTTCGTGAGAGTCGACTGGATCAGCTTCTAGTAAATGTTCAACAATGATGTGAATCTGCGTCTTCTAAAGGAGCTTGTGGAACCTCTTCAATCTGTCTGTTGGTAGTTGGTTGTATGCTTACACCCTATTTTCTTAGTTTCCCTTGTATTATTATAGAAAGTTGAAGGTTTTTCTGCAAAATTCCTTTAGTCTGTTGCATTTCATTTCGGCTTCATTTAGACGCGTGACCTGTGGGGGTTTTTCGTGTTTGGAAAATCTAAATTTGCTAAGAACGGGTGCGAGGGCTTTTTGAGCTTTGCGAGAAAGTTGTTTCTTGTACTCAACAAACATTACTAGATGGTGCGATGATGATTTGTTTGTAACGACGCTGCTGGGTTAAGCATTTATCCTGTGAACATGATTAGTGGCGCTGATTTCCTTGATCATGTGAAGGGTGTAGGGTGAAGTTGAGCTTATGTCGCTCATGGCTTGAAGTTGTGTGCGGGTTGTATTGTCGACCTGTGCTCTGGAGTGGTTGCTTGGTAGCGCTGACGGGCAAATGAACACGCTATGTAAGTGCAGCTATTGTGTGAAGTGTGCTGCGCCTTCTGGTGCTTGTAGTTGAGACTGGCTGCTAATCGGGGTTTGTGTCAAAGACGCTGAATAAACATTTATTTCGACATAAAAAGACAGCGATAGATAGCGAGCTCTCCTGAGTCTCTCATAGCTGTTTACAGTTTTTTCGGGCATTAGACTCAACTTGATCGAAGCTCTGATAAATAGACGTCTAGTTGCAACCACTGCGGGGAATGATAATATTGAAAACAACCACAAACTATAAAGAAGTTGGCGTTCTCATAAATATGCTTTGCATTCTGCTCCACTCGTAACGTTTAAAAGGTGATTGAATGCATATTTGGCTTACAACGTTTCTGCAGTTGCCTCGCAGTATATCATGCAAACCCTTTTATTTTCTTATGCAAGTCCGTACCATTTTGCCGGCTTCGGAGCGATGGGCTTGCTCAACCTAGTGGTTGTGTCAGCCGAACGACTATGCATTTATTACTGTAGGGCACTTCTAAGAAGCAAAATGCCATACTGACGACAACATAGCAATCACTGAATGAAGTTCCATTCTAATTATAGTGATACAATATCTTATGATTATAATGCCCTGACGACATCTTTGCAGTTATCCATCGGTTCTGCAAAAACAGAACTATCGAAAACGTCGACATTCTTGAAGCATCATGCTGTACTCGGCACCAACACTCACGCCTCGTTCCACGTCTATCCCCAATGTAGACCGATCACCTTCAGTCGGTCGGATATGCAGCTGTTGTCTTTGGTATTTTTTGGCATTTAGTCATCTATATTATGTGTCATGTGTACTGCAACCAAAGAAGAACTTCGACAATAGCTGCGTATTAAAAACCGCAAGAAAAGACTATTGAAGGTCTTTGCTGAAAAATCGGACTGTTTTTGATTGTTTACTTTCCGAGTTCAAGAAGTGTACCATCACGCATACTATATTGTACTAGGTGTAACCTGGTTTGTCCCAAGGTTTTTAGATTTTGATAAAATTAATATCAGAGGAATTTAAATTACTCACATCATACCTATTGTGAAGAATAACCTCTTCGAAATAATCCAGTCCCTTAGTCATTCTACATATTTTGCTTAGATGAAACAATCCATCCACGACAACATCAATCCGTTCTTGGGTATGTCGTTCAATGAAAAAGATGAAATGGTGTTACTCTGGAAATTCTGCTCTCGTGGTACTATACAGGCGAGAATAAATGTTCTATGAGACTGCATTTAGTACACTATTGCGTTCCCAATGTGATTTGACTAGTTCAGGACATTATCTACAATTCTGAAGTAGTGCTAGATGGAAATTTCCATGGTGCCTTTATCAAAGATATCACTTCGGTGAGTCCCTCAGGCTTCGTACATCTGTTTAATTGTGGGCTTTAATAAATTCTGTTTGTTCGTTGTTACTGGCCGATCTAATATTTGCTCAGAATAAAATGAAAAGTCGCAATAGACTTGTTTCTATAAATTCTCCTTTATTTCCTTCTTTCCTTAAACTGCACTGGATGGTTGGAAACCTTCCTACTGTTCGTGATTTAACACATATACGATTATTATAATCTTTCTCAGTCTACGCAGAGTTAAAACTCACAGTAGTTTTGTTTCTATAAACTTTCCCTTTTACAAGTTTTTCCCTATTCCGTCTGCATTAGACGGGTTGAGAATTTTCCTACCGTACCTCACTAAACACAGACGTGAATTCACCTAAACCTTCTCAAGGTACGTAGCTTGCGAAAAAAAATCAGTCTGCAAAAAAGCTTTTTGTAAATTATTAAACGTAGAGAATGAATTTCACGGCCAGCGTTTGGCATGAGGTTTGCGTTGCACAAACTACCGATTGAACAGAAAAGTTGTCGAATGAAAAACTGCGGCTAACAAGGAAATTGGAAAGAAAGTGTGTTAGACTCAATGCATTGGTTCCATTCCACCAGTTGGTACCAGTTGATGCGGTCATTTATTTGTTCAATGTGAAGCGATTGTATTCAGGGTTTGGAATATCTTCACACTAGTCCCATCGGATATCACGGATCACTCACTCCATGGGCGTGTCTTATTGATCGGAACTGGATGATCAAGCTCACAGACTTCGGTAACTAACAAAAATCTTCGACGTTATTCTTGTTCTGTAATACTGAAACACAATCTATCCTTCATATTGTATTACAAGTTTTTAAAGAACAGACGGGTGCCGGTTACAGCTCCTCTGGTTCTTATGATACAATTAATTCGGCACCAATTTCATCTTGTTGAATTAGCCGTAAATTCTACCCATATTTTTGTAATTTGCGTGAATTTTTTAATATATTGATCAGTCGAAACTTATTAAATAGCCTAGGTACGAAAAATGGATTAAATTCTATTAGATTAAAATGTGATGGATCCTTCAACTTTTAGGAATTGCTAGTTCCCTGGAACGTTGGGAAAGAAAAGGTTTAATTTCGATTGAATTGCTCAAGGAAGACGATGAAGAGGGAAAAAGCGGCTCGCAACAAAAAACAAGTAGTTTATTACTGTTTTCTTATTAGTATATTACTTGTTTTGATTTGCTTTTACAGAATTTGTGCATCGTGTACTTCTGGGTAAATCAATAATAAATCATTTTATTAGAACAGTGAACTTTGAACATAAAACTTTGTAGCGCGCTCCCATGGTTCATCATGTCTATAGGGCTTTCCGAAATGTACGAGTATGCTAAACACGGTCATCTAAGTTGTAAACGGGTTCTAAATTTTGATATGGAAACCGCGCTGAAATTGGAGTCTGCTCTCCCATAGTGCAATGAGCTACTTCTAGAAATCAAAATAAAGGTGACTAGCAACGATTTTTTAGCATCTTCCCATCCTACTAGTAATTTCAGGTGGCAGATGAATTGAACAAGTAAATGCCAAATAAGTTCAAATCCTTAAAAGACAGAAAAAATTATAGATGCCGCTCAACAATGTGTCGTAGGTTGCTCGTTTGTCTCAGTCCTGGGCCGGCGCAACCAGCTATCGTTCCATCATTTTGCGCTTGGAAAAGTGACTGCATGTGGATTTGTATTCTGTTGGAGCATTCCTTCGTTTCTGCCATGAATACCATTGAATGCATGTCGAATAGATTCTTTTCGAAATTTTCCTGGTATAATCGTGCCAGGTGTTCCGAACTGTATTGGAAGGGGTTAGGTTGCTCCGGGCAATTCTAGTGCCGTTTTCCCAGAGGGATGAAAGGCTTAGGTAAACCAGGGCGGACAAGAATTTGAACCCTTGGGATCGGCTGCAGTGTCGGTGAACGGGCTCATTAAAACTGCTCAGCACAATCCCTAAATAAAATGAGTAGTAGAACTAAATAAATACAGGGTTATAGAAAAACCCGTATACCCAGAAATTTTGGCCATGTGCAAAGACTACATGTAACAAATGCGAATTGCAGCGTATAGTAGAGTTGTTGAAATCTCCAGGTGTTCTGTACCAATCACCTGAACTTCTGCAGAATCGAGCAGTGAATCGGGGTCGAGGCGCCGAACAGGTACGAATGACCTATTCATTTTTCAAGTGACACAAAATACTTTTTGTAAGAACCATTTTTGTCGGGTTGAGGAACTGCAATGTTTGATCCCACTGATATCTGTTTATGATAGAACTGAGAGCGATCACTGCAATCGTATTTTTTACGGAACGAAGATTTCTTTCGTCTTCGAGTCAAAAAAAGTTTTTGAGGGAGAGTTTTTTACTTCTGGAATTCGAAGTCGATTTTTTCAGAAGGAATTAAAGCAAGTGCACTCTCTTCGTCCAATGGGTGACATTTACGCTTTCGGAATGGTGATGTATGAGATATTATTCCGTGGGTTACCGTTTCCAAGTTCGGTCGATATTGATGGTAAGAAATGAATGGATAAGTAAAAAATGTCTAGTGAAGGACTACTGAGTTTATTCCAGAATTAATCGAAAACATCAACAGTGGTAAGAACACGTGCCGTCCATCCATACAAGACAATTCGAACGTTCATCCGAATTTAATTGCATTGTTGTCGGACTGCTGGAGTAAAAATCCTGAAATGCGTCCGTCAATTCGGCGAGTTCGAATCAACACCAGAACTTATCTGGACTTGTAGGTGTCGCATTTCATTCCATTGAACACATTTACGACGAAGCTGGTTTATAACTATAACGTTGCTGAGATATTTGCAAAACTCCAGAATCCTTGTGTATGCGCTGGGAACCGAACACGCTATTACCCTTCACGGAGGCTAATGCTCTCACCACCACAGCATGCGAATCCTTCGTTTCGCCTATCTCGCACCGTGCTACTGACCTATAGGCGCTATCAGCCGTCAGCCGTTGACGGAATTGATCTGGAGAGTACAAATCAGCATGAACCCAGTTAAGCTGAAGCGATGATATAAATCACAATGTTGCCAATTTTTATTTCCTGCCTAGTAATCTTTAATGACATGGCATTATGTGACGTATAACCGTGGTTAAATGCCACATGACACCCTGACACTAGAAGTTGCTTTAGTTCTTCGAAAGCATTCGATAACCTTCCGACCACTTGAGCATTCTGGGAGTTTAGAACTTTATACATTTATTGAATAGACTTTGCTCGTTTGCATTAACTACGTATATTATTTTTATGGAATACCCCTTCAAATTTGAGCATACTCGGGATTGAGACTTTAAAAAAATTGGTGGTTAAATTTAAGTCCTTAAAATCTTTTGCGAAGAGCGGTAGTTGGATTGTCTTGTAATTTCGTGTATTCGTTTCCTTTCATGTTCGAAATATGAGCCTTTAAACAGAAAATGTGAAGGAAATATAGGTCATGGGATCCAAAAAATCAGAACGACATAGTGGTAAACCAAGAGGACTTTCGTTCTTCGGCCTGAAATTTGTGCTTTCTGACTGGCTTTTATTGCAATTAATGAAATTTTCTACGGGGTGAGATATTCCTACTTATAGTTGAAAGCAACCGCTGTTTCCGAAACGTATGACTTCTATAAAGTCACGTCGTTCCGAAATTGTTAACAATCGATTTTGAGATTACGGGTAGATGGAGGTGTTTCCATTTCGAATAAAGCAGTTTTTTTCGGATGGGACCTGTTGGAAGCCGTAAAGCACTACAGTTTTTTGTTAATTAATATTGATCGAAAGCTACTCACATTAAGAGCCTATACATGAGGGCTTTTTCTTTTGGTTGTTGATTAAATATATTCGAATTTAGAACTATTTGTGATTCAACCACAATGATACTGAAATATTTGCAAAACTCCGGAGCGCAAATGTCTGTGGTGTGGAACGAACACGCTATTGTCCTTTCCGGGTAGTAACGCGTTCACCACCACACCATGCGGGTCCTTCGTTTCGCCTGTCTCTCAGCTAAAATTATTTCGTTTGAAATTATGTAGTTACATTTATGAAATTATTGTTCTAAAAGCTATTAAGGTTTTTAAAGATACAGAGAACTATTTAATTTCAGAACAGGCTCCCTTGTGGATCAAATGATGAGAATGATGGAGCAGGTATAAGGGGAATTTCTTATTTTCGTTTGGATAACAGTAATTCGTTGAAAAACACTGTTGTTTGTTAATTGTAAACCCATGTGTGAAAGTATGCATTAGAGTCAATGCATGCTTGGATATTCAGAATGCATCATGTAGATCGCATCCAATGAATAATATTTCAGGGCCCCCATATTTTTGGATAAAGTGCAAGATTCTTTGTTCCTGTGAGCTTACTTGCACTAGTTTTATAGTTTCTTTAAGTTCCAACTTACTGAAACTGTTTTTACACTGCGAAAACGTCGTAATTCATAAGCAATCTATCTTCGTGTTCATCATAATGTGATGGAAAAGTGGATCGTTTCTGTCAAACAAAATGAAAGACAGAAAATTTTTAACGATGATATACTTGTTTTCGTTTAGTTCATCGACCGTCCATTTTTCGAGACCGTTCTAACCGTCCACTTTAGTTAGAATGTTTTGAATAGAAAGCTGTAGCTTCACTTTCGCTTTCTTCTTCGGCTTCGTCTCAAAACGCTGTATCAGTCAAACCCCAACTTGCTTTTCTTCATTTTGAGTATGGAGGTTATTTTGGGTAACGAGTATAACTCAGTGCTGAAATATAGCACTTACTGAAGACTATTTTTGAAGCGGTTTGCAACGTGAACACAATGTTGAACTTAACTAAAGTCTTCACCAAAGTAAGTTTTGGTCTAAGGACAAATCCTATTCATTTGCAACAAGATTGGCGAAACCCATATTGTTTTCGCGACGACTATAGTGAAAAGCGCTATTTTTTAGAAATTCTGCCAGACATTCAGAAAAAAGCGGATAAGGTGTGGTGTTAACTGAGAAAGTCTGCTTCAGTATGCTAACAATCTCGAGAAACTCGTCCAAGAGCGAACTGGTATGCTGGAAGACGCAAACGCAAGAGCCGACAAGTTGCTTAGTCAGCTTCTTCCGAAGTAATTTCTATTTTTCAACTTAAAAATCTAAAGAAAGCAAGAGCGTTATCGAGCGGTCTATGTCAATTTTATCTCTCTCATGGCTTATGCGGCATGGTGTTTGCGACGACAATCAGCGTATTGGGCCAGTAGCCACGACAATAGTTGGAAAACGACTATAAATTACAGTAGCAAATCCTATGATCGACTTTGTTTTAACCTCGGCGTTGATCAAAACCTTACTCCTTTCTTGATGAGTAAAGGCAAGGTTGTTATTACAGCATTTATTTATACAGAATAAGCTGCCAGTGGTTTCGCTTTCTTAAGAGCCTAGAAAGGCCACACAGCCGTGCAATTTACGCAGCCAGACACTTCCATCACCTCGCATAAAAAATTTAACACATAAACTTTCATTCGCACAATAAGTAGCTTTTTTAACATTTACCACTTTGTTGTTTGTAAGTCTTAGTATTTGGTATGGGTATTTTGTTTTATTTGGCGCATACTCAGAAACGTGTGTATGTGAATGTCTACTTTTCATTTATTGGCTACAACCACAACGATGCTGCAATGTTGGCAAAACTTGGACCCCGAGCCAGACAAAACCACGATTTTCCGTTCCGGAGGCTAACGCATTACACACTGCGCCACGGAGACCTTTGCTCTGCGTTTCTCTCAGCTAGTTTTCTATCTACCAGTGCCATCAGCAATCAGCCATCAAGGCGATTGATCTGGGAAGCTCACAGCGACATTGAACCCAGTTAAGCTGAGGCTGAGAGTGCGTAGATGTGTCATTATCAATATGTGTATATGTGGATGTGCACAAATGTATGTGTAATAGATAAACTTTCTATGATGATTAGCCGTGGAATGATGAAATTCATCGTCAGTAACCTGCACTGATTTCCACACTTGAGGAGGGAAACGAGAGAAAGCGTAGTTGAGTTCGACTTTGTGTGGCAGTCGTCGTTTCCGCCTCTCTAGACTCAGGAGCGTTGCGCTCCGTGAGAGTGTATGCATCTCTTTCCTTACAATGGCCATTTGCTTATAAATATGCTTACAAACATTTTGAAGTGTTTCACCCCTCAATTCGGCAGAATAGTCAGTTTCCCACTTTCCTCTTTGTTTATAAATGTTGATATGTCCCATCGAGGAATAACAGGGATTAAAGCATCGTTCACTGACATTCTGTGACTCAACAACTGCTGGCGCCTTTTCGACCGACTTTTGAAATCTCTTATTTTAATCGAAATTCACTTATTTCTATCAAACAGTTACACAGAGAAACCACACATCTATGTTTGGGCCAACAAAGCCTCTGTGAGATCTTGAACACACTAGGTTTAATCACTTATAGTGCAGCGAAATCTTCCACGAATTGTCATAAGACTAATTGAAGCTGAAAATCAACGACCAATTTGTCCTATTCAAACATCACTCGAATCGATTATGCTGCATGAATGCACTAATGGAGACTGAAGTCTGTTAGCCCAGAAACCCTTCCAGTGAAGTGGTCTTTCTCACAATATCCTTCTTGTATAAAACAGTAGATCTCGTTTCGGTTCATCAATACAAAAATTTACGATCTAAATAAAATTACTACTCAATTATGCTGCAGTGTTCTAATAAAGTTAAGGCTATCGATATACTTGGAAAAATTAGTCGCAAAACCTGATAATGAGCACGAAACGACATGATTTCAGTTATGTCGCTAATGAGCTCAAACTTGGCCGCTCGGTGCCGCCAAGGACGTTCCAGTCGGCTACTGTAATGTTCAGGTAGTTCTTACTCTCATATTCACCACACGAAGATAAAACTAACACAAAGGATGAGAATGGATGCGTTCAAAGCATAACTTATTTGCTTAAATTGTGAATAGAGTATAGTAGCAATATTTAAGTAATATTGGGTTATAATGAGCCATAAAGGGCGCATGTAGCGTAGTCGTTAGAGGCGTCCTGCAGTACACATTTGAACGATCCTCGCGTTCCAGGATCACCAATGTTTCCGTCTCTCCAGGATCGAAAGATTGGTAAGAGACTTGTCTATGTGGAGGATAGCAGTACTGAATCGATACATCGATAGACCATCGCGAGTTATTGTATAGGCCAGATATGCACTCATTCACCTCTAATGATGCTTAGTGAAGTCAAATAGATACCGCATTGCTCAGGGATTGATCGGCGCTGAGGGCTTTATCCTTTTATTAGTGGAATATAGAACCAAAATTAAACAAAATTAAAGAAAGTGATTTTCTTCGTATTTTTGTTGAGCAAACGCGAGGTGTTACTATTCTTTGTTCACGATTAAGCTGACGTTTCGGCGAATTTCTCCTTCTTCAGAGCCTGGAAAGGTCAAGTTGATAGCAACTCACCCGGCCAGACGCCTCTATAACCAAACAAAGAAACTCCAAACCAAGATTTCAATCACTTTGAACACAGCTCTGCACACTCACCGCTTTCTATGAGGTTTCCACTAAGTATGTCACGTAGAGACCAACCGCACAGAAATCACGTGGAAGTATAATGTGCCCCTCACATCAGAAAAGCAGTTTTATATACTGCCCTATATCACGCGTGATAATGAGGCATTCTTCCCTGCGGTCCATTTTCGGATTTCTGGAATTAATCCAGAGTGCCTCGAGAGTTGAAATACCACCGAGTAATCTTAAGCGCCAGCTAGTTCGTAACCGCCTATATGACCGTCTATGTGCAACTCAAAAT